TAAGTTCGGACACTTTTTAGCGCGGACCCGACGTCCATATAATTGTAAGTCAATGTATACTTAGGTAATTTATGTATTGCCTTTGTAAGTCAATGATTGCCAGAAACTAATTACCTATGTTTATATAATATTTTTTATCATAGTACAGTTTGTTTTTGTTAAAATAAAGACTGCTTTAAATTAACAATATTTGTTTTGTTTATAACAATAATTATTATTGTTATGTTATGGCAATGACCTGAGATGATAGCGTGGCAAAAAGATTGCTTCTTAATTGAAAATCAGTATGTGAAAAGAAAAATTGTCCTTTTGAACAGGAGGTTTACAATTAGTGTCAAATAAGTTATACTCGGCCTAATTCGTTTATTTTCTTCCATCCTCTAAGCGACCTAATCAGAAGACAATGTCAAGTATGAAGCTTCAGTCGCATGAGTCTTAATTTATCGAGTATTACTTATTTGACAGTAGATTAGTGTTGAGTTACTCATACACGAGGCAACTCATTTGTACCACTCGCTTGGTTAGTTTGTCACAACACCTCATGTCATGAAAATGTCCCACCTCACCTCATGTCACAGCCTCACTTATGTCACACTGCTTCGAATTCAACAATGATTGATTCTGCACTGCCCGCTTTTTAGCTGATTTTACATCCTCCGAACCTGGGACCTCTGCGTGGTAACCGTGCGGCCACCGAGGCAGTTATTAGAGACTGATACCATCAAGTTATGAAAATATGCTTAATATTCCATGTCTGTTGAGTCATTGCCGTAGGTGCAAATATTCTTACCACTACCTCACCTCATTTGAAGTAGGACATTGTACCGCCTGATTTTTTGAAATGAGGTACTCCCTCAAACTCATTTTAATTTCATGTCCTACCCAACACTACAGTAGATATGAGCCGCCGCACAGTGGGCCCAACTTGATAATTCTTGGACATAGGAATAACTTGTGGAGTATCGAGCTAATTTTTTTTATGTGATAGATAATAACGTACCTAACAATTTTTATTCTTGTATAATTTCTTGAAAAGTTGATAGTTTCGGAGAAAAAAATGATAATTTTTTGTATGGAGAAATATACTTTTATTTTTTATCCCAATATATACGAAAATGTAATGAGCGTGAGTTACTTACAGTATAGTTCCATAGTTAGTAATCAATATGTAGAAAAAAATAATCCGTCTGCATGTACTTGCGGCTTTGTAAGTAAAGGTGCGGCAAAATTGCCAACTTTTTATGTACTTTTTTAACAAAATACATGAGCTTCGTCTAAAGAACAAAATATTCACAAATATTCGTAACTTGCATTAAAGTCATAGGAACATGCCGGCCGTCAAAGGGAGAAATTAATTTTAGTGTAGTTTAGAGAGTGTTATGGAATTTAAGTAGAAACTAGTATATTGTGTTAAAAAATAACAAATCTAAAAATTTGCCACCTTTTTACTCGTAAAACCGCAAGTAACTGCAGATGGATTATTTTTTCTTGATAGAGAATGACTGGACCTATACTGTAAATAAACTACACACATTACATTTTTCTACATTTCGAGATAAAAAATAAAATGTTTATGCAAAAAAAAACCATTTTTTTTCTCTCAAACAATCAGCTTTTCAAGAAATTACATGAGAATAAAAGTTACCAGGAATGTTATTATGTATTCGTATAAAAAAATCAGCTTCGTATTCCTAAAATTGTTCCCATGATTAAATAATAATTTAGCTTAAAATTGATACTTTTTATTTCCGGCATTTTTTAATCAGCTTTTAGGAAAACAGAGCTGATATTTTTCATTTCATTGCCCTATTGTATTCTTATGAATCAAGAATACAATTGGCGCAATTAGTAATCATTAGAACGATCGATAAAATTGTCGACAACAACTACACGACTACTTAAAATTTTACGTAAACTGACAACCATGCACATTGACTTGACCATGCAAGTCATTTTACTCCATCTTCCAAAAAAACAGACTATACATATTTGTTGCTCAATTAAATAGAAACTAATACTGACAAACCAGAAACAACTTAAAACTAATAAGTGGGCAAAGGCAGCATCATCGTTAAGAGCGATCTCTTCCAGACAACCTTGGAGGTAGCGGCAGGGCTCCGTCACTCGCTCGAGGTTACGCGATAAGTGCCTACCGCTGAGTGCATCGCCGTACAAAGTGCCTACCGCTGAGTGTATCGCCGACAGTGTATAAGGGCTGTGACAAATCTTTCATTTACATTACAATCCATGTACCACCCCAGCATTCGGTTCCGCACGATTGCACACAGCGGGCAACGTGATTTTCACCTCTCTGATGGCGTCCTTAGGTTCCCTTTTCCTCGTAGTGAACACCTGGTGTCATTAGTCAGATTTTGTAGGCTATTATAGCCTAGGTAGTTTCGATTTTGTATGAGTGATGTATCTGTTACGTATTAACTATTAAGTTCTAGTTCTATGGAGACGTAGTGTACCAATGTATAAATTAAAAGAAACTGTAAATAAAAATTTACAATATATTTTATCAGATAATAAATAACGATATAGTACACGTAAATGAACTTATACTTACTAATAGATAATAATTATACACGTTGCAGACTAGTTCATTGTGCTATGTTTACAAAAATTAGTTTCCATTCTACGGCCTTGTAAATCGAGCCTTAATATCTGGTACCTTAATGTCTTGTACGTGGAAAGTAAACAACTGAATCATTTATCTATATTTTTATTTCAATAAATTAAGCAGGTCTTTTTTAACACAGTAGTTACGCACAGCTGTAAATGAATAATGCATTCAACAATCCAATACATAAGGTTGTGATTTGCTTGGACATTTTTTTCGGTCCGTCGTTCATACAAACAAATCTTGAGCATGACCGGGCAGCGCCAAGTTTACGTAACGACCATAATTTTCTTGAAATCCAAATTTCACATTTTAGTACTACCTTTGTTATGTAGAAGCAAATTTGTTTTTATTAATTTCTTATATTTCTAGAAAAATATGGGCAGGAAACTAAGTCATTGATGTGAAGATAATTTTATATCCTTCTTAATTTCATGTTTAAAGTTAATATAAATTATAAACACGTTAAAAAGAGCTTGTATAGGCTAATGAGATGTACGTGCATGAAAATACCACACGACTATTAGAAACCTCAGGAATGTAATATTAACCTAAAATGATAATCTTTTCATGATAATGGTGGAGTTTGTGAATGTAATAGTTTTTTTTAAATTTAGCACCCGTACTACAGCCATTGAGAATTTTTCCAAAAAGGCTACGACTTCGAAATCGAAGTTTCGATTTATCTTTTATTTTCGCTAACGTAAGTGAGAATTGCTTTAGGAAATATTCGTCCAGAGTGGAGGTTGTTGTATAACAAAATAATGAAAGCAATTGCTATTCCTAGCCACGTAACAGCGTTTATTTGAAATAACATTAAAAAAAGCTAAATATAAAAAATGAGTCAAGTTTGGTTACGAATGAGCGGAGAATTCTAGAGATATACGAATAATATTTTTAAAATGGTTTTTGTTTCTATTTAACTATAGTTTGTGGTAGAGTACTTTGGATAGTCTACTGTACTACTTACTTGACAAATGATCGCGTTTCCATACAAACTTTTATCCCCTTTAACATTTATTTTAGTGACAAAAAAATAGCCTATGTCCATCTAATTTGGTTCAGGTGTGAAAACGTAACAGAGTTGCTTCCGTATTTAATATATTAGTAAGGATAGTATGGATTATTAATTGACTTTTCATCCCAGGGGGTCTACTCCAACAATGTTGTAGGGTCAACCCAATGTGTTTTGTACTCCAACAGTGTTGTAGGGTCAACCCAATGTGTTTTGATTTGGCCGAGTATTACTTACTTGACATTAATTGTTTCTGACGGAAAACGGGAGCAAACCCCCAGAATATGTTTATGTTTACTATCACATATCGGACCTAGACAACGGATGGAAAATGATAATTATATACTACTAGCAAATTTCTTATTCGTTTTCATTTTGTTACACATTACGTTACTTAAGCCTTTCATTATTGTAATAATTAATTATGACTTTTTTGTTTTTGTTGTATAAAGTTCTAAAAAAAAAACGCCAAGTTGAACAATGCCTAGTTTAATGACACATAATAATGCTATTTTAATTTTTTTTGATATCTATTAAAATAAAAATAAAAAGCAGAGGCATCGATTTTACAAACGTTAGGAAAACATTTATTGACGGGGCTCATTTAGTTTTAATATTGCACATCACTTAGCCAAACTCAAATATTATAATACTTGTAAGATATTCAGTTTTAGAAAACAAAAAAATTCTAGAAAAAACTAATATATTTATATTTTACACAAGCCCAAGCTTGAATACGGCTATAGAAAAAAATTAACGCTGATTTTTAATTTTTATTTTTATGTTAACGGACAATGTTAAATCGCATTCAAACTGAACTTGTGTCACATAAAAAACCTGTGCATCGACAGCTATACGATTCAAATGATGACCATGCCTCGCAAACTGCCGTGCCTACAACTATGCAATTACGTAGTATCCTGCGCTTCAATAAATAAAATTACAATTGATAAAAAATAAACATTATATACAATTAAATAAAGGGATATGACTGACAATTTTATAATAAGCGGTACATATTGATTTCATAACCTATTACTCTACTTACAATATTTATAATTTAGCACTGACGATAACCAGCTCGACATTAGAAGATAGTCAAGTCAGTGTGACTGTGTTTACAGGGAAAATCGTACAGAGATGATGTAAATAGGCTACCACGTACTCACCAGAATGCAAGAAACGCTATTAGAACATTGAAAGTAAGAGGTGGTGGAAAGATATCATTATTTAGTTGTTGGTTTGCCTTCTGGTAACTATTGTAATTGTAGCCTCGCGTCGTACGCTATATTATTGTTTCATTTATTCTAACAAGTGAAAAATATATCAACAATCTTAGACGTCAACAGCATACTTTTGGAAAGGTGCTGTAGTCTTAAAAATAATTTGATAATACTAAATTCAAGTCGAATGTGAAATAGTTTTTTTTTTTTGCAAATTTATCCAACGCAAATACCAATGACAATTACACTAAGTATTATTTGGAATGTTTTTTGTTTTCAACACCAAGATAAAAAACACTTAAAGGAACACGTGTATCTATCACATCGCGTAAGGCTGGAATTTCATTGGCTTGACCACTCTGCTACCGTCTCTTTCTCATAATGTTTTTACGTAATCTGAGAGAAAGTGACAGAAATAGCAACCGCGACACTGAGCCGATTATGATTCTAAAAAGCCGCAGATAAAAAAGGCATTATTTGAACACATGCCAACTTAGTGTTAAGTTTAATTCTCCAAACAATAGTTATAATTTTATTAGCCACACTACAAACGAAATTTTGAAATATGCTATTTATTACCATTTATTTTAGGCAGTGAGACAATTAAAGCCGTTCCAGTCGGTACAGCAACAGAGAATTAATAATATTCCAGTCACCGTTATCTGTTGGCTCATAATTTTGGACTTTAATAAGCAAAACATGTTTGAATAGGGTTAAGGGTCTTGATGGTATCCCCATTACTCCTTTCCTTATACGTTTTGCTTATGACATTGGCATATAACGATTTTCCTTGCCACAGCCACTGCTGTCAATTTAGCGCATTGTCACTCGCGGCCCGCACTCGTCACTGCTGCACTGCACTCACACTGCACTATGCGCGCACGTACACTGCACTGTCATTTCGTGTAATTGTAATCACGTTTGAGATTTAACGTCCATCGTCGAGGCGCCGCGGGGTAGTGTTACACGGAGTCATCTGAAACAAAAGATATTACAATTCGTATTTTTATTCCGTTGGGTTTTGCAATTGTACAACGAATTCAGATATGAATCATGAAATTGAGATTTCTTAACTGCCTCTGTGGCTGAACGGTTACCATGCCAGACTAACATGCAGAGACCCCGGACTCGATTCCTGGGCCGGGGGAAATATTTGTATTTATTTATCTCTTGAGTTTCGGTGTTATTTGTTGGGTTGTCTATATGTAGTCCACGGCACTCGCGGTTTCCCAAGGGCGCGGCTATGAATGTGTACGTGTGTGTTGTTTAGAAGTTATGAAACGTTTTTTTTTCCGATCCCAATCGAGTATATTTGTTTTTTTCAAATAAAGCAACGTTTCGGCCTATTTGCAATAATGTGTAACAATCGCTAAAACCGAAAAATGAAGAACAAAAAGTTAATTACCAATTTATTTTAAATGGATAATAACAAACAAAGACAGAGAGATTGGTGTCATTTGGAATGTGGTGCTGGTGGCGAATGGAAAAAATAAAATGGATTGAAAACCAATAAAATGAGGAAGTTTTGGAAAGGCTTGGGGAGGAGAGCAGTCTTTTGAATGCAATAAAGAGAAGGGGGTAAATGTTTGGACATCTGTTACGTAATGACAAATTTGTGAGAATGATAATTGAGGAGAGGATAAAAGGGAAAAGAAAGAGAGGAAGACCAAGAATGGCGTATAGTGAACAAATATAAAAAAACATCAAAGTGAACAGCTATAGAGAGGAGGATGAGGAGTGGAGAAAGCTACACCGACAAGAGTCTGGCCCAAATAGGATGATCATGATGACCTTGTACGTACGTGAACCACACTGTTGTTTTCCTCAGAAAGTCTTTAAAGTACTGGTTGTGCTGTTTAATGCAGAGTGCTGCGTACCCAGCCTCAATAGTATTTTGAAAGTATGGAAGTGTGACAGTAATTGAAACACTGGATGGCAACGCTAGTGTAATAAAAATAAACAGTGTTAATAACTAATTAAAATGTATTTTAATTTTATCCTCAAATTACAGTCAGATTTTTAATCAGAGATAGCAAACTGACGTTGAGACTTGCTAAATTTTAATGAATTCAAAATAGTGTAGTGTAGGGTGTCGCAGGTTTCACAGGAGTGTATAGGACTGCGCGCGGGAAAGCCTGCACACGCAATGTTCGTTTTTATTACAACGGAAGAGCCTCCGTGTAAAAGGCAATTTTGGAACACACCGTTGCGCACACGACTGATGAGTGCAATCGCGCAGTCTTTCCCTTTTCCTACCAACATCTTTACACGCGCACGATTACTGTATGACGCGGGAAAGAGTGTCTGTGTAAAGCCTTCTAATGGGTCATCAAAGTAAATTATATATTTTTAGTAATTTATATGTTTTAGTGCCAAACACATCACTATGTAATAAACATGGTAATTAAAAAACCAGGGCCCCATGTCTGTTAATTCTCTGGAAACACCACTGAGATTATATTGCAATTATGATAGTATCGATAGCAGAAGTATCAATTAACGTAAGGGACATTTTGTCGAAAATGAGTTACATGTATCATTGGATTCGGAAGTTCCCGCTCTATCGATTGGTATATTAAAATTTAGGGATGCCAAGTGGTTTAAAATGTAGCATGTCCCCTACATTAAAAAACATTAAAAAAAGATATTTAGTTGTGTCTTACGTTGCTAATATTTATGTGTAAGCCGTCGAGCATAACGTAAGCATGAAGAGAGAAAATTACACGTAATTCTATTATAAAAGAATCCTTTACAATAGAATTGCGTATAATTTTCTATTTCTCATCCTGCTTACGATGCTATATTTTAAACCACTGGGCATTTCTAAATATTTCGTTTATAGCATGAAAGAAGAAATTCGAAGAAACTTTGCTCTTGACACAATCAAAATTGGTGCAGACAGTAAAAAGTTATAGACAGATTTAAAAAAACTAAATCGTTTTTTGGCTCTCCAGAAAAACCGTGGTTTGTCCCTTACATTAATTGATATTTCTGGTGTCGATATTTGTTATTCTGATAAAATCTTGTTCTGATGTATATATATAGAATAGTGTCAGTGGGATGGCTGTGATGGTATTAATTCAATTGATGATGATTATTTTTTATAATACCAAGCGACGGGACAAACAAGTCGTGCGCCTGGTGGTAAGCGACACGCTTATCCATAACAGTTGCTGTGTCGCTCAAGAGCTTTTAATCGCAAAGATCTTAGGGGCACTGCCACTGTGCCCGTCACCCTGAGATATTGACTAGTCCCATGTGCCAGTAATTTCACCACTTCCCTTACCCTTCCAAACCGGAACGCAGTAATGCTCACATTACTGCTTGGCGGCTGAAATAGGTAAGGTGACAGTACTTCCCTGGACGAACTCTTTCACAAGGAGCTCTACTGCTACCAAAATATGAATATCTTAATTTTTATATCGTTTAATCAGCAATTTAATCTTCAAATTAAATATGTATACTATTAGTGCTCTACGACGTGCCATCGAATCCCCTTTGAAGAACAGAAAATAAAAAAATTGCTATGGCAGTTGAGTAGTAGATCAATGCCTAGCCACTGAAAAGCATCTACTAAAGCAAAATACAGACACTCTATCGACACACAACTGAAATTATTTAAAATTAGCAGACTTGATAATCATAGGCAAATCATTCGATTTTGAGATCAAGATGTGTACGTACCATGATACCACCATTTAGTTTTCTTAGGATTTTTGTTGCAGGTCTTAACGTAAAACGAGTTATCCGGTGGTCGTTTCTGTAACGAAAAACAAAACGTGATAATAATAGTGCAAATTATAGACAAAGAAATAAATTTATAGAGTTAGGTTACCTTCTCCTTACAGCTACTAAGCATGGACACAATGGACAGACAGACAGACTGCACGGAGAGTGCCGGGGACCAGTCGTCCGTCAAGATCGACAGGCAAATGTGTCCGTTGGAATACACGTGCGGGTGGACAGGAATGTTGTTGCCTACAAATGTCACCTGGAATGAGGAAATTTTTGATTAGACATTTGCTAAACTATATATATATAACTATATAGCAAGTTATTTGCTAGTGTACAGTTTGCTATTTCATATTTAAAAATAATATTTTTCGTGGGCTGAATTCGCAAACCTAGTAACCTCAATTAATAGGCATATAAAACAAAATTATTACAAATAATTATATGACAATTTATGAATATACCTTTATTTTGTAACCAAAAATGGGTCTATAAATTATATCTTAAGCTTAAGTGTCCGATCTTGCGCTTGAAGAGTAAAAAACAGATTTCGTACAAAGACTGATTATTAAGATTAAAGATTACGAGATTTTCAAATTTAGCCGACGTTATTTGACTTGGCGGTGGCACTACCGTGACCCCAAAATTGACGCAAATTGCGATATATATGTTTTGTTTATATTGTGTGCTGGTGGTGTCCGTTTCGTACATTATTATTAATTTGAATTTGAAATACAATAACAAATTATCTTTCATTAAAAGTAATCTTGGTAGAATTGCGATTTCAAGAAATGTACACTCTCACACTTCTCTCACAATCACAGTACGGAGTACTAAAAAAACCGACCTCAAAAGTACGTAGAATTACGTCTATTTGCTAAGTTTTATTGAAATATCCCCTAGTTCGCCACTATACAGGACTTGACACTGGAGATGATAAAAATCCGTTCTCACTACTCAAAGTATATCGAGAGAAAAACGCCTTGAATTGGAGAAATAGCAAAATCAACCATTAAAATAATTGCTCCTAAATTAAAGTTAGGCGCTATTTATAAAAATGAATCTTCATGCGTGAACAGCCACCCTTAGAGGTGGATGATTTTCTTCAAAATGAAATGGGACCACTATGAAAGTACCCCCTTTCCAACAAAAAAAAGTATAATGAAAATCGGTTCACAAATACCGGAGTTATCGCGTAACATACACACAAAAAAAAGAACATATAGCCGAATTGACAACCTCCTCTTTGAAGTCGGTTAAAAAATACGACAACAACTCAGTACTGTAATGTGAGCATAACAGAATAAGCCAATTAACAACAAGCGGCCTTATCCTTAACCAATCTCTTACAAGCAAACTTAGGAGAGAAAATTAGAAGATGTCAAGGGGAGGTGGCAATCACAGAATATTTTTTAATAGTAGTATTTAAAAATAAATAGGTCATTTTCACATTACTTTTGTCTTCCTAATTTCGGTGGAAATTTTTATTTAATATTCGAGTGTAGTATCTTGAAATGATATTTAATATTTCACGAGAATGTACTCGAATACTTAAATAATAAAAATTGACACCAAAATTAGGTAGAGAAAAGCAAACTGAAAATTACCCACATGCACTACGCATTGATTATGTCACATATAAATAATTATTTAATTTACCAATGTACTTTTGTAGGAAAAAATACAATAAACACTGTAATAAGGATACCGCGTGGGAGTACGGTTGCTTCTCAACTGAGAGATCAACTGTTCGAATCATTGTAGCGGCATGTATCACAAAATAATCCTCTGTACAGGATGTGTGCGTACTACAACAAAATATGTACTAATTGTGATATGGGCAATATCAGGTTACTTTTCTCTATACAATATCGGTGGCAATTTTTATTATTTAAATATTCTAGAACATTATCATGAATTGTTATTTAATATTCGAATGTTGGAACCTAAAATATTATTTTAATACTCTAATACGTAAATAATAAAAATTGCCACCGAAATTAGATAGCGAAAGTAACCTGCAAATTACTCATATATTTAACAGGTCACTTCTTGCATTGTTGTAAGGTGAATAACGTATTCTTTTTGTTTCTTTTTTCTATTCTGATAAAACTTAGCGTCCGTTTAAAAAATCACATTGATTGAATTGGGCACAAATAGGCCTACAGTATTACTTTTTAAGTGTTTTTCTTCATATTATTTGTGTCCGATGTCGGTTCATCTGCATCATCATAATCCTCATCATGATCTGATACCGTTATGTTCTCGTATTTCTTCCAGAGAAAAGTTTAAGTAGACTGGTGTCATGACTGTGGCATCACATTTATTTAAATATTTTGTATGCCCGTAAAAATGTACATAATTTCATTACGAAAGAAGACGTCTGACGTAATAAGGAAACAAGTGAAGGGATAGAGGATAGAGAAAAGACGAAGCTTGGACTATGTGAAGTAAGTGTTGTGGGTAAAAAAGCCATGTGTCGTTTGAAACAACGAATACAAGGAGATAGTCGTATAGGCGCAGTGAGGGAATACTATAGGCGGATGTAATTACGCTATTATCATATCATTACAAGGTGATGGTCCCAATGATCGATATTTTATAAGTGTGTCTTTAAATTTGAAATAACTTTTTGTTTTTAACATATCTTTCTAACTATCAGTAGTGATTAGTTTACTTGACATAACTAGATATAATTATTAAGAAAGATTATGCTGTAGTATGTTTCATAAACAAGCTATTATAATTATTTCTAAAAAAAACCTATACATCAAAAATCCAATAATTAACTAACCAGCAAACGACACTCAACCAATAAGAAATGTGTTACTACGGATAGAGAATTTTGTCCTAAATTTTATTAGAAATGAATTTAATAATTGTAACTTTCTTATATAAAAAAACCGACCCCAAAAGTTTGTGGAATTAAAACTTTTATTGAAATCAGTTACCGGAAAGTGCGCGAAACCGAAATTCCTTTTTTTGTGAAGTCGGTAAAAAGAAGTCGCACATTGGCGTCACTACCTTACCACTTACATTTTTATCTCATATCCATAATTTATAACTGACGCCGCCGTCATTGTGATAGATATATCACAGATAAAACAACTGCATTTAATGATAAAATCATACCGATTGTAAATTTTCATTCTTTTCTTAAAAGTAAATGGAGTTGCTCTTAATCTTAGCCACTACCTAGCTTTATAGCAGGGTTGTTGCTGATCCAGGTTTTTTACACATCAGTGGATGCTGATGCGAATTAAAAAAAAAAGTAAGAAATGTACACCCTTACTGTTTCTATCTATATGAAAAAGCTTTCTATTTTCGTTAGTATTGTTATAGAATATTATTTCAATGATTTTGTGACATTTATAAGAAAATAATCAATGTTCACGAAAACAATTTTTTTACAGAAATTTGAATAACTATAATTAAACGTATAGATAAAATGGGCCCTGTTCTGCATAAATGAGTTAACCCACAAACTGTCAGTTTCGAGATATTGAGCATTAAAGATTTTTGGCAACTATTTGTCATTACTCATTTAATTAATGAAGTTTACAGGACAATTATATATCAAAATATTTGTAATGAAGTAAGCATTACGATCAGTTTATTATTTTTTTAATTAACTAATTTATGATTAGTAATTAAATGAAAATGGTTTATGCAAAATTCGATATATAAACAAAATTATTACTTTATGTGTCAAGTGTGTTGATGTTACATTATATGTGTTAACATATTTTTGCTAAATACGGAAAAGTACGTAAAAAGTGTCACTTAATCCTTGCAAACACTGAGAAATCACATTTTCATAGTGATCGTGTATTAAACCAAGTAACAGTAGTTTTACTTTTGTCAGTAGACGTGTTTTGTTTTCAATTATCAATAGCCTTGTTCTTCTTCTTTGACCTGTAACAATCGGGGGTGCACACAAGGAGCCTCCCCGCACGACGTAACATTCCTTACTTTTACGAGATTTGATCGAGTCATGTGCGTCGAGGGTCTATCTTTTCCCACGTTTAAATCTACTAACATGCAACCTTTCTACTTGCCCACATAATCTTTTACTACACGACGCTCTCTTATTACTTTTTCGTAGTGGCGCGGTTGTAGCGCCACAGTGGTGCACTGTAGCGGTTCTATAAACGCCTAATTTGAAGACGCACTAACAGAGCACATACTACTCAAAGCTCTTATACTAATAACATTCACCCTAAGTTCATGCTTCTTCTGTCACACCCAATACTTGCTACCGTACATCAAGGTTGGAACCCGCACTTTCTTGACACGTTTTGGCTACCCATAAAGGCACACAGAGCTCCATTTATCTGATTTCGACTATTACTTTCCGTTGAATATCATCCCACTAACCAACTCTTATTAATATAGCCGCGGTCGTAGTGCTGGTGATCTTCTTGTGTATCTATCTACCTATTTGCATATATACATAGACGCACCAATGAGCAGCTGTCATCGAGAGCAAGGGGGAAGCAATTGCCATGAGCTTAGACATCGCTAAGGCTTTTAATCGGGTCTGGCACAAGGCACTTCTATCGAAGCTACCATCTTACGGGCTTCCAAAAGGGCTGTGCACTTGGATCAGTAGCTTCCCGACTGAGCGGGCTTAAAAGTAGCGGTGGACAGATTGTGCTCGGAAACCATGTTCATTAACGCCGACGTCCCGCAAGGATCTGTGCTATCGCCAACCTTGTTCATCCTGCATATCAATGATATGTTATTAACTAGTAACATTCATTGCTATACGGATGACAGTACCAGTGAATGCCTATTATACAGGTCGCACAAATATATAAATATAAGTGGAACAAAATATATTGTAACTTGTGTCCAAAATCTAGCCTTCTTTGGAGCAGGTCTTAGAATGAGGACGACAGAATCTTGTCAAATTGAACCCCGCAAAGACACGCGTTCACCGCTAAAAAATACCCCTTTGTAAAAGCGCTAAGTTCCAGCACACCATTACCCTTTTCTCCTTACCATCTCCAAGAGTCGTATTCCAGAATTCTACTCGACGCTCAAGTCAGGATTTGAGCAGATTTGAGTATGATTTGAAGCACTGGAAATACGACCCTAATGGCAGGGACTTGAGTATGATATCAAGTGCTTTAAACCATACTCAAATCCTGACTTGAGCATTGAGTAGAGTTCTAGAATACGACCCTTAGAGTATTGGGATACTTGGACTCGGCATCACGAACGAAGTCCAGTTCCGGGGTCATTTGATATTTATTT